GAAGGCTGAGCGAAGGAAGATCGATGCTTTTGAGCTGTGGTGTTGGAGGAAAGTTCCGAGAGTGCCTTGGACTGCGAGAAGATCCAACCTGTCCATCCTCCAGGAAATAAAGCCCGACTGCTCACTGGAGGGAAGGATACTAGAGACAAAGTTGAAGTACTTTGGCCACATCATGAGGAGACAGCAAAGCCTGGAGAAGACAATTATGCTGGAGAAAGTGGAAGGCAAAAGGAAGAGGGGCCGACCAAGGGCAAGATAGGTGGATGGCATCCTTGAAGTGACTGGACTGACCTTGAAGGAGCTGGGGGTGGTGACGGCCGACAGGGAGCTCTGGCGTGGGCTGGTCCATGAGGTCACGAAGAGTCTGAGACGACTGAACGAATGAACAACAAATAGACACAGATAATGCAGATAATGTGTTAAATGAGCCTACACTGAACATATAATTCTGTTTCAAATTGCATTATATAGCAGTGCAGATGGGGCCTTGGGAGTTTTATTTAAAAGCATGGGAAAAGTACTTCTAACAAGACTGAAGACTGCCCATCCTTAGTGTAAAGAATTCAGAAAAATCATTGTGATGCTAAACAGGATTGGAGATCCTGATAGCGAATTGTATGGAACATTTTTGCTCAGGTTGAGCCAACCAGGAAATAAGTCAACTCATAATTCGAAGGCCAACAGTACCCTCTAGTGTTCAAATGGCTAAGAGGTTGGTCGCAATAAAAACCCCACACTCCACATTCGTGTGATGACATTATTAAGTGAACCAAAAAGGAGCAAAAAATGCATGCAAGGTTTGGAAGATTCCTCAAATACAGGAACATCAGTGTGACAAGCACAATGGTTTAAACCCTTGTGCCAGCAGGACTGCTGACCAACAGGTCAGCAGTTCAAATCCAGGGAGAGCGGGTTGAGCTCCCTCTGTCAGCTCCAGCTCCCCATGCAGGGACATGAGAGAAGCCCCCCACAAGGATAGTAAAACATCAAACATCCGGGCATCCCCTGGGCAACATCCTTGCAGACAGCCAATTCTGTCACACCAGTTATTCAAAAATAAGTGGGAGGGAGAAAAGTAAACCTGCCTTGGTGTTGAAGTCATTTTGTCCGCATGATATATTGCAATGGAAAGTGAAGAGTTTGCAGACATTCAAAGACGGATCACACAGATGATACTAAAGTTTGGGGCTTCATTAACCTCGTATAATTCAAAGCAATTCTGAGAATAATAATAAAAGAAAAGTTTGGTCATATATATATATATATATATATATATCCACCTCAACATTAGGAAAAACCTAAATATGCTCTGCCTGGGAGTGTGATGGCATCTCCTTCATGGGAGGTATTTAAGCAAATGCTGAATGGCCATCTGTTAGGAGTTCTTTGCTTGTGTGTTACTGCATGGCAGACTGGGGTTGGACCGATGGCCCTTGATTTTAAATTTGCTTTTGTCATTTGACAAGGCCTTTAACTTTTCTGAATGAAGCAGAGAGTGCTATTGTCCTCCCAACCCTGTTATATGTCTAGTAAACATGGATTGTCTACAGACTCAATTCCTGGAATGATTCCATCAGCCTTTACTCTGAAAAATCCTGCAAATCTCTTGGGAAGACAGGCACCGCCAAGACTTGGAAGGCCATCATACTCAAACAACGAGGCATCGCTTAAGTAAGTAAGCAAAGTAAAGTGAAGTTCGTCTGAGATTTATAGTAGTACCTTAGGAAACTACAGCTCCCCAAATTACATAGCATTCAGCCTTGGCAGTTGAAGTGATATCAAACTGTATTACTTCTCCAGTACAAATGCCCCCCTAGTGGTGAAGTAAGTGTAGAAGTGGCCCTAGGTAATTTTCAACGGTAAGCAAACAGTTGGAAAACTGGAGCCGGTTCCAGAGCCAGGAGTGGGGCCGCTGAAGGGGAAGAGGATGATGAATCCACCCCAGGGCGCCCCTGCCACGGATCCAGCCAGCCCACCACCTTCCGAGGCCTCCAGGAGAAAGGAACATCATGTACCAGGCCAGGGACGCCCCCTCAAGCTCCTCGCCAAATTTCGTGTCTCTAGCACCACGGGAAGCCGTTTTTCCAGCACTTCCGGGATCCTGACAGCTCCTCCTGACAGCTGTCAAGGCTCCGCCAGCTGGTTTTGACAGCTTTTGACAATGCGCGCCAGCGCCCCCTGCTGGTTTTGCTTTCCGCCAGAGCCGGCGCGAGAGCAGCGGAACTGTCCTTTCAGAACCATTTGACCGTAAGTCTATTTTATCCCTATTATCCCTCGAGCAGAGCTGTCCAAAATTTCAGCATGTTTCCCCATCTATTTCTTTGCCTGTTATCTCTAACCCAATGCATGTCCTCAAGCCCTTTTCTTTTGCAGATGGGTGCAGCCAAGGCCAACTTTTGGCGACAGTTGACATCCTGGGTCCAAAAATGTTTCTGATTGTTTTTTTTCTCTCTTTCTCCTCTTTCTTTCTTTCTTTCTTTCTTTCTTTCTTTCTGCCAAGTGGGGTCGAGACCACTGTCTCATCCCAAGCCGCTGGCACTAGCCTCAGTTTTTTTTACTAATCTTCCTCTGGGGACCAACTCAGAGAGGGCTCTCTAGTTTCCCTAAGTCCCATAATCCATCTCCTTATTTTTGAGCTGCTGCTGGTCACTCATTCCCTCTCAGGACAAAATTGTTAGGAAAGGAACACTCCAATCCCTCCTGCCAGATGCCCTTGTGGCCCCACGTTGGGCACCATACTTGGGCGGAAACTTATGAGTAGGCTTGCAGCCTACTTTGAAAAGTTTCCGAGTGGGGATTGATGGCGGGGAGCCCCGCCAATGATTGGCCTGCACTGCAGCGGAGAGTTCCGCAGTTCCTGGTTGTCACAATTGGAAGAAACTGATGAAATGTGCCCCAGCAGGCAGCTCAATAATAAGACTGCACTCAGCCTTTCTTTGCTTTCCCCTCTCCCTATGAGATCTCCAGTTTGCGTTATAATAAAGATCAAATATTGTAATAAATTTTCCTGGGATGGGGATGGGGTTTTCCCCTTATGAAATGTGTGTAAGGAGATATTGTATGAAATGTAATATGTTCCCCACCCTGCCTTTCCTGCCGACCCTTGCCCCACAAAAGATGTGACCTGAAGATTACTGTATTGCCTTGGGGAGAGGCTCCTTTGTTCTCCCCAAGCCCTCCCTGATTGACTCATCAGCATGGAACAATACTGTTGATTCCCAACCCTAGCCCTCGGAGCATGTCCAGCGAGGGGAGGGGGTCAACAGAAACCTGGAAGAAAGGACTGATTAAATCACACAAAGACGACGTTGATCCACCTTTTGAGGTCCGTTGTCTAGCCAAATATTCTTTTCCCCAAAGCCATTCCAAACAGGAAAACTTTTGTTTGCCAGGATCACACCTTGCCGGCCTGAGACAAAGGCTTGCTGGCAACTCCTAATCCCATCATTTCCCCCCTCCATTGTTCACGGCCGCACCGCCTCCTCTCTCCTGATTTGTCCATCTTGCGAGGCGAGCGGAGGGCGCTCATTGGCCCCCTAGAGGCGAAGAAACGCGCTGATTGGTCCAGAGCAGGGGCGGGCCGCCCAGCCTCCTCCCAGCTGTTCCAGCATCAGCCAATCAGCGTGAAGCCGGCCGGCAAGGGGCGGGCGGGAATTTTGAAAGTTTTCCTTTGTATTTTTACTATAAATATGTCTGTATTCTTTGTACTGGTATGCTTGTGGTGGAATGATCCCTGCAATGCATCTGATTTCAGCTGAATCACAAATAAACTTCGGTTGCTGGAAACTTCTTCCACCTTGATGAGGCATTATTAATTGTAATATTTTGAGATTGGCTTCGCTGGCCTCACCAAGGGATCCAGGGCCCTTTTTTGGCACGGTCCTCGGCTTCCTCTCTCTTGAGGAGACCCCGCTAAAAGCAGCTCGATATCAGAATCATAGAATCAAAGAGTTGGAAGAGACCTCATGGGCCATCCAGTCCAACCCCATTCTGCCAAGAAGCAGGAATATTGCATTCAAAGCACCCCTGACAGATGGCCATCCAGCCTCTGTTTAAAAGCTTCCAAAGAAGGAGCCTCTACAACACTCGGGCAGAGAGTTCCACTGCTGAACGGCTCTCACAGTCAGGAAGTTCTTCCTCATTTTCAGATGGAATCTCCTCTCTTGTAGTTTGAAGCCATTGTTCCGCGTCATAGTCTCCAGGGAAGCAGAAAACAAGCTTGCTCCCTCCTCCCTGTGGCTTCCTCTCACATATTTATACATGGCTATCATATCTCCTCTCAGCCTTCTCTTCTTCAGGCTAAACATGCCCAGCCCCTTAAGCCGCTCCTCATAGGGCTTGTTCTCCAGACCCTTGATCATTTTAGTCGCCCTCCTCTGGACACATTCCAGCTTGTCAATATCCCTCTTGAATTGTGGTGCCCAGAATTGGACACAGTATTCCAGGTGTGGTCTAAGCAAAGCAGAATAGAGGGGTAGCATTACTTCCCTAGAACTAGACACTATGCTCCTATTGATGCAGGCCACATTACCTTCTTTGAACTGGATTATGTGAGTCTACATCAGGCATAGGCAAACTCTGGAGTTTTGTACTTCAACTCCCACAATTCATAACAGCCTACTGGCTGTAGTTTAATGCTTGACCCTGTCTTCCTGTATTCAAGCTATTAGGATATTAAGACAACAACAACTTTGACTGCCCTGGCTCAATGCTTTGAGAGTTCTAGTTTGGGGGGGGCAATAATAATTGGGGAGAGAAGTCTTGGTGATGCTACAACTCCCATGATTCTATAGCATATCATTGAGTCAGAACAGTGTTTCCCAAACTCTAGTCCTCCAGGGTTTATTTAAACTCCAACTCCCAAAATCCCTCATCATTGGCCAACACAGCTGAGGCTTCTGGGAGTTGAAGTCCAAAACTTTTCCCTCTGTGCCTGCATTAGAAGAAAATGGTGGGCGCGGCCTGCAGGGGGCGACATGATACCAAGCCAAGGAAGGGAATCCAAGATGGCGGATTTGCCAGTGGTGGTGCCCGTTTCTAAGGGAGAGAAAACCCGGCCTGGCTCCGTCTCTAGAGTCTCCCCGGCCCGGTTCTTTTGCACGGCGGGTCGCGGGATGGAGCCCTTCTTGCTGAGGGAAGTGCGGACGCGGCTAGATGCCACGGAGGTGAGCTACAAGCCCGTTTCCGTGAAGCCTCTCGCCTCCATGATGAGCGCTATAGAATGGTCACACAAATAGGAGACATCTATCAGGCCTGGGCCAACTTGGGCCCTCCAGGTGTTTTGGACTTCAACTCCCACAATTCCTAAAATCTAGACCTGTGGCCTTTGCATGTTTATCCAGAAGTACACTATTTCAGGTTCTTATCAATTGGTCTTTCAAGTAAATATGCATAAAGTTATAAAAATCTTTCAGTATTTAATACATTCATACCAGGCCCTCCACTCCTCCCAAACTGCCTTTTTGCTCAGTCATTCATACACAAAAAGATGACATGATTGACTTTGTAAATAGATACCCAGGGTCACTTCCAAATATGCCATTTGGCTGCTTCCAGGTGTATTCCGTTACTTTTATTATTTTTTGCAATCTTGGTGGATTAAAGTCCCTTCTACACTGCCATGTAATCCAGATTATCAAACAGATAATTCACACTATTTGCTTTGAAATTGATTTTTGGTCGTGTCAGGAGCGACTTGAGAAACTGCAAGTCGCTTCTGGTGTGAGAGAATTGGCCGTCTGCAAAGATGTTGCCCAGGGGACGCACGGATGAATTGATGTTTTTATCATCCTTGTGGGAGGCTTCTCTCATGTCCCCGCATGAGGAGCTGGAGCTGACAGAGGGAGCTTATCCGCCTCTCCCCGGATTCGAACCTGCAACCTGTCGGTCTTCAGTCCTGCCGTCACAGGGGTTTAACCCACTGAGCCACCTTTTGAAATGGATTATATGAGTCTACAGTGCCATATAATCCGGTTCAAAGCAGATAATCTGGATTTTACATGGCAATATAGAAGGGGCCTAAAAGGTTCCCAGGAATTAAAGGAAGGACTAGATAAACTGCTGAAGGTGTTTTGTTCTGAATGTATGGGCGGGTTTTTGGTTTGTTTTGTGTGTGTGTGTGTTTGTGTGTGTCAGGAGCAACTTGAGAAACTGCAAGTTGCTTCTGGTGTGAGAGAATTGGCCGTCTGCAAGGACATTGCCCAGGGGATGCCCGGATGTTTTGATGTTTTACCATCCTTGTGGGAGGCTTCTCTCATGTCCCTGCATGAGGAGCTGGAGCTGACAGAGGGAGCTCATCTGCGCTCTCCCTGGATTCGAACCTGCGACCTGTCGGTCTTCAGTCCTGCCAACACAGGGGTTTAACCCACTGCGCCACCAGGGGCTCCTGCTGAGTGTATGGTATTCTGTGTAGTATCTACAATTCTTTGAGAAAGTCAAGTTAAGTAGTACATACATACATTCAGGGAGATATATTTTTCGGATTTATTGTATCATCAATGTACATTATCTGTCAAGGTAGAATATGTATCAGGAAAAGTTTTCTTCACAACTGGCGCTGACTTGGAGACGTTGAAGAAGTTGAAGTCTGCTGAGCGGTTATTTCTGCTGCTGGACAAATACCCTCCACTTGCAGTCTCCAGAAACAAAGGTAAAATAGTTAGTCTTATGCTTCATGTTCACCGACCACTTAACGCAGTTCAAAACTAGCTTCAAACTGTGGCGGCCAGACAACAAACGCCCACAAAAGCACGCAAAAGAAAACCCTTAATGCACATCAGTGCTCTGTGGTTTGTGTAATCACCAACTAAATATCACACTGATTCAAGGATTTCCTATGTAATCACCTATGCAGTGAAACCACTTTCTTAATTATCGGTTTGAAACTGCATTAAACGGTCAGTGTAGACCGGGGCTTTGCTGGCTAATGCAGGCCTTCCTTCTCTAACCTTTGATGAGAGGATCTCTCCATGTCCTTCCTGATTCACTTGGCTTGAAGAGTTGATGCAATGCAGTTTGGGGCTGGATGAGTTAACCTGAATAAAATCTTTATTCAGCTGTGAACCTTATTTGGTGTTCTTGGGTAAACAAATATCTGGAGACGTCCTGTACTCAGGTGGATGAACAGGGAACTAAAATGTTGTTTGGAATTCCTTAGAACACTTCTAAGACAGGGTTTCTCGAATGTATTGTATTGGTTTGCTGTTTTCCTTAACTCTTTGTTGTGGGATGGACTGCAGACCATGTGATCAGATCTGGGCTTGTTCAGAACTCAGACTCCATTTTAGATCCCAGACTCTATTGGACTTTCAGACTAGACAGAAACCATTAGACCAGTGTTTCTCAACCTGGGGGTCGGGACCCCTGGGGGGGTCGCAATGGGGTGTTGGAGGGGTCGCCAAAGACCATCAGAATACACAGTATTTTCTGCTGGTCATGGGAGTTCTGTGTGGGAAGTCTGGCCCAATTCTATTGTTGGTGGGGTCAGAATGCTCTCTGATTGTAGGTGAACTATAAATCCCAGCAATTACAACTCCCAAATGTCAAGGTCTATTTTCCCCAAACTCCCAACAGTGTTCACATTTGGGCATATTGAGTATTCATGCCAAATTTAGTCCAGATCTATCATTGTTTGAGTCCACAGTGCTTTCTGGAGATAGGTGAACTACAACTCCCACACTCAAGGCCAATGCTCACCGAACCCTTTCATTATTTTTTGCTAGTCATGGGCCTTCTCTGTGCCAAGTTTGGGTCTGTTCCATCTCTGGTGGAGTTCAGAATGTTCTTTGTATTGTAGGTGAACTATAAATCCCAGCAACTACAACTCCCAAGGTCCAGAGAATGAAAATACATCCTGCCTATCAGATATTTACATGATGATTCAGAACAGTAGCAAAATTCTAGTTATGAAGTAACAACAAAAATAATTTTAGGGTTGGGGGTCATCACAACATGAGGAACTATATAAAGGTGTCGCGGCGTTAGGAAGATTGAGAACCACTGCATTAGACTCTCAGAACAGGGAGATGCTTTGAAATTTGGACTGTTGATTATAAGAAAGATGCTTTATGTCATCTACACAGATAAATTGTTCAAATCCTATTTGTAACTGGATTTATATGCAAAGGATCTGTATGCTGAATGCATGAAGTTTGTGAGTAAACCACCCACCAGTATGTACAATATAGTAATATTGAATACTGATATTGCACTATGCTAATAACATAATATAGTGTATGTATATATATCTTGTAAGCCACTCTGAGTCCCCTTAAGGGTGAGAAGGACACCATATAAATGTCATAAATAAATAAATGTGTTACTTTTAAAGAAGTCTATTTATTTTTCTCTCTTGAGAGCTTAATTTAAAGGCAAATATATTTTAAGAGAGAGTAGATATTTTGGGGTAACTATAAAGTACACTTCTGAAACTCTGCTGCATATGTGTGTGTGTGTGTTTTGCATTGACATTGCTATACGGTTTTAAAGGTTTAAGTTAAAATTATGTTTTTATTTCAGGCAAAGTGGTCCATGATATTCAGAATCTTGTAAAAGAGAATCCCATCTGTTGGCTGGATATTGTTGCTTTTTGGAAACGTCTTCACGATCAGGACTCAAACCCAGAAGTCTTGCCTCAGAAATGTCCAGATTCCCAAAAACGGAAATTGGAAGATGAGAGATATATCAACAGTAAAAAACAGAAGAGTGAACCTGTACTAGAGAGCATTCCTGCAGAAGGTCAAATTGAAAACCAGCCAAGATGTGATATATCAGAGGCTCATAAGCAGAGTGTCGTGTCCCAGGTCTCACCTTTTATAGAAACATCTTCTGAACATCTCCAAGAAAAGCCTCTTGAGAGCAACAGCTGCTTCAGTTTCAGAGTATCTTGTCGCTGTAGTGGGCTGCTTGCGAAAACATTTACGGCACAGGTATGTCAAACATTCCAGAATTTGGATGGCAATAAATGAAAATGTAGCATATGGTATAATCAAATGTGTGTAGGGAATATCATCCAAGAATTTTGATTTAGTAGCGTCTCTGAAAGTAGCAAAGGCTGTGAGGCATTAGTCATAGATGTTTTCCTAGATTTAAATAAAATGTATTGTTGGTCAGTTACAGTCATGAAAATGGCTGCTTGATTGAATCAGCTTAATCTTCTTCTATTTATTTTATTTATTTCAAACATTTCAAACATCCTTCTCAAGCCCTAAGGGGGGACACAGGATGGCTTACACCGGCAACAATTTGATGCCAACACACAACATAGCAATAGAACACAATTAAAACATTGATTAAAACATTTAAATATAAACAGGCAATTCAAAACATGATTAACAATAATATGGCCACATCCAAGTTCGATTCAACATTCAGGGACTTAATCCAAAGCCTGTCCATTATAACTTCGCATACATTAATTACAATTATTTACTTATTTGCCATATTTGTACACCGCTTTTCTCAGCCCGAGGGCTGCTAAGCCTGCTGTCCAAATGCCTGGTCCCAAAACCACGATTTGAGCTTTTTACTGAAGGAAAGGAGAGATGGCGCCAACCTAATTTCACTGGAGAGTGATTGCACAGACGGGGGCCACCACTGAGAAGGTCCTGTCTCTCGTCCCCGCCAAACACATTTGCGAAGAAGTCGGGACTGCCCTATCTCCTTGAGGGGACTCAGGGCGGTTTCCAACAAATCAGAACAGTGGGTAAAACAATCTTAATATATCTATCTATACGCATAATAAAAATGCTGGAGGCCTTTGGAGGGAGTTATAGGAGTTGTAGTTCACCTACATCCAGAGTGCACTATGAATCCAAACAGTGATGGATCTGGACCAAACTTGGCATGCATACCCGATATGCCCAAATTTGAATATTGGTGGGCTTTGAGGGGAATTGGCCTGGACATTTTGGAGTTCAGATACTGGGATGTATAGTTCACCTGCAATCAATGAGCACTCTGAACTCCGTCAAAGATGGAATTGGATGAAATTTGGCACACAGAGTTCCCATGACTAGCAAAAAATACTGGAGGTCTTTGGGGAAAATTCACCTTTGGGAGAGTTGTAGTTCACCTACATCCAAAGAGCACTGTGAACCCAAATACTGATGGACCTTGACCAAACTTGACACACAGAACCTCCATGACTGATTCAACTTACTGAAAGAGTTTGAGGGGACTGACTCACCATAGTGAGATTTGTAGTTTGCCCTACAGCAAGAGAGCACACCGAACCCCACTGACGATGCATCTAGAACAAACTTGCCCAACATAACAAACTTTAAGTACTGATGGAGTTTCTCGGGGTTAAACTGGCACGATGTGAGTTGTAGTTCACTCACAAACTTATGTATTTTGTACAATTAAAAACTGACTTTTTCAAATAACCCGAGTAACGCCAGGTACCTAAGCCAGTAAAATTATAAAACTAACCAAAACTGAAAAGTAAACTTAAATAAACATAACACCTCATGTACATTTACCACATGATAGACTCATAATTGATGAAGGGATTTAATGTTCACAAACAATTTTGAGGTTGTTTTAAAGCTGCTGCTAATTCATTGGAGCATCTTCAAATTTAGTTTTAATTGATCCTGGCACAAGGGAGCCCACAGCCTGGAAATCTGAAAATGCACCATCACAAAATGGACGTTATGAAGGCTGTCGCACTCAGAATCCTAATTAATTGAATACTACTGCATTAGCAAGGAAGGCATTGGCTTATATGTTGGTTATTCAGAAAGCATTCTATTTTGTATTGTAATCAGAATGATTGAATTAGAAACAAACACACCATCTCATCAGGCTGCTAGTAAAATAGTTAATGCTCTTGAGTGTGCACTTCTACTCCAGAATATCCTGGAGGTAGCTGAGAAAAGGGTTTTATTTATTTGATGTGCATGCATAATCTGTCTTCATTAAGTACAATGAATTGCAGGCCTGTAATGAAGACATGCCACTGCCTGAGGGGTTGCTACAAAAATAATTAGTGTTTTGCATTCTGAATAATACCATTAAATGAAAAAATAAGAGTTACAGACTATTATGTTCTATTTTTTCGAATTGCAATTAACTGTCCAAAATGGGGTTGCAATGCAACTGTCCAAAATAGAATGTTGCTTGATTACTTCTACCCAGGTTAGATTTGAAGGATGTCATTCTAAAGATACAGTTATTTAGTTAAAAAAGTTCATTCTAAAGCAGTAGACACTGAAAAGAATGGGAAGTAATCAATAGATTATGTTGAAAAGAAAATCTTTGTCTTTTGGACTTGCAAATAAAAAAACACAAAGCAATTGCTTGATTTATGTTCTAATAACATCTAAGTAATTATTGTTGATGTTATTGCAAGACTTTGATTCTTAGCATAGATTTGGAGCAAAAATCCCTAGTGTTGTATCTCAGCAGTACCAGCAGTCACAACAGTTAGGGGCTGATGGGTTCACTGATTAGTTAGACTCAGAAAGAATTGTGGGCTTTCCTGGGATTCAAAGTTATACAGGCCAAAAAAATGTGATACACATAGTGATACAGGCCAAGAACAAGAGAATGCAATTCCCTCTGAGCTCCAAGGTAAGTCACAAGACACAGAAACAACATCCCTAGACAAGGGCTTGAGTGAAGACGAATTGGCAGAAAACACCTGGCAATGCAAAACTAAGCAAAGAATTACGTTTGCAGATTAGGAGAGATAGTCAGCTTCGAAGATCAAGAAGGCTTTGTGGGAAACAGATAGAGAGAGTCCGTGGAAGATGCCATGACTTCATGTCTGTTTATAGTCAGCCTGTGTGAACCCAAATTCAGTTCAAACAACGTTGGTTTTTGAACAAGAAGTCAGGCTTGAGTTTCATAATCATTGTGTCAAGTCAAGTCTTGGTTTTGGATTCTTGTATTCTGAAAGTTTACTATGTTCTTGTTTTATATGATTCCTGCTCAAGTTTGCTTAAGTATACCTTTTGTTTATGGATTTATTCTGTGCTTATCATTTTTGGCTATTCCTGGACAGTGTTATCTTTGGATTTTTAGGAGACATTTAGATTCCTTTGTGGCTATCATCTATTTGTTACCCCTTTTGGGATTATAACTCATTACCTCATTCCTGCTTTTTTCATATATTTTAAGTGTTTTTACAATAAATGGGATTTTTTATATGCTGGACTCTTGTGTGGTGCTGTGGTCATAGGTGGCTCTAGGCCTGGGGTGCAACACCTGGTCTCACTGGAATGTCAGTTTGACTTTGCTATTTTAAAGCATTCGTTGTAACCATGTGTGTTTTTCCTCATTTGCTTCATAATCGATTCCTTGTAAAGTATCCTCTACAGCTGATTTGTCTTTGTCTTTTCAGGAGATGGGAAGAATAATTGGAATAGCTCTTATGAAAAATTTTGGATGGAAAGCCGATTTGAGACGTCCTGATATTGAGGTGATGAAAGACTTTAGCAATAATCAAACAGGATCGATTGAGGGTCTGGTTTAATAAAATCAGTATAAAAGACCAAGCATGTTTTGGAAATGTGAAACAGGGAAAATTTAAGACTTGTGTCAATCCCCCACAAGATATCTATAGGCTGGCAGCCTGTTGGTGTCTCACACTTGTATACATTCCCTTATGCCAGTGGTAGGCGTTTTTGACTGGTACATTATGGCTGTATTCAGTTGAAGTTTCATGGAGTTAGACATTTGATATCATTGAATGCTGCACAGCATTGTTGCGTGACTCTGGATGATTATGTCTTGTGCATCAGTGCACATTGGTTGCGCAGTGTTGTAATGTCATGATGAAATAGAACATCACAACTTAAGCATACCTCTGTTAGTATAAAAGTATGCTTTGTCTTATTGATGCTGAATTTGGTCATAGTATGGGTTTGGGTTTCTCTCAATCTCCCATTCTAACCTATGCATGGTTACCACTCATCACCAGTAGTATATTTATGCTAGCTTTCACGCACTTTGGGCCCTTCTCCAAACAGAAGCAACAGAGATGTTCAGCATAGTGTTGTATTGGGCACCGCAATTGAAGGGAGATGTTGTCAGGCTGGAATGTGTCTAGAGGAGGGCGACTAAAATGATCAAGGGTCTGAAAAACAAGCTCTAAGAGGAGCCGCTCAAAGAGCTGAACATGTTTAGCCTTCAGAAGAGAAGGCTGAGAGGAGACATGATGAGGGCCATGTATAAATATGTGAGGGGAAGTCATAGGGAGGAAGGAGCAAGCTTGTTTTCTGCTGCCCTGGAGACTAGGATGCGGAACAATGGCTTCAAACTACAGGAAACGAGATTCCACCTGAACATGAGGAAGAACTTCCTGACTGTGAGAGCTATTCAGCAGTAGAACTCTCTGCCCCAGAGGGTGGTGGAAGGAGGCTCCTTCATTGGAGGCTTTCAAACAGAGGCCAGATGGCCATCTGTCGGGAGTACTTTGCATGCAATATTCCTGCTTCTTGGCAGGGGGTTGGACTGGATGGCCCATGGGGTCTCTTCCAACTCTATGATTCTATTATTCTTCTTTGCGCTTCCTCTTTTCACTTTTCTGCACCGGTCTAAACATTTCTGTCAACTGGGAAGTACTAGGAAGTGACCTCAGATCTATATGGGTGTCCTTGTTGCAGTGTCAGTGCACCTGAGTCATATGTATTCAGTAGAGATGAAGCCCCAGTATAGTGACGCATTTGTTTGAGGAACAGGTTGCTTATATTGGCAAAGATAATTGAAATAATAAATACAGACAGTCCCCAGGTTATGAATAAGAGATTTGTTCTTAAGTTGAATTTGTATGCAAGTTGGAACAGGTACATTTTTTAGTGTAACATGAGCAAACTATACACATACATAAGCACATTTATTTATTTATTTATTTACTTTGCTTATATACCGCTGTATCTGAAGCCCGAAGGCGACTCACAGCGGTTCACATCCCCAACATAGTCTGCCTCCCACCCGGATCCACAACTGTTTCAATACATTGCAATGTTTGAGTGCTAAATTCGTAAATACAGTAATTACTACATAACGTTACCGTGTATTGAACTGCTTTTTTCTGTTGATTTGTTGTAAAACATGATGATTTTGTGCCTGGTTTGTAAAATCATATTGTAATTTGACATTTAATCAGCTTCTCCTTAATCCCTTATTATTATCCAACATTTTTGCTTATCCAACATTCAGTCTGTTTAAGTTGGGTTAGTGAGACTATATATATCTTTGGATAGCATAGGGAAGAGTTAACACCCCTGGGGGTTGTTTTGTTGTCTGTGCTCCTGTTCAGAAGATTTCACCACACTTTCAGTCCCTGTGATAACTAGATTTTGGAAAATTTGGCTTGTTGTGGAAACAAGGATTGGTAAGAAAGCTTCAGTGAAGACCCTTTTTCTCCATGATAACTTTTCCAGGGTTAGATTTCTCTCACTTCCTGTTGTCTCACCCCAATTCTTAACTAGGAGTCATAGGTAAGTCAGATGTTTGTAACTCGGGGACTGCCTGTAATTTGTTTCCCCTACTTCAAACCATTGAGTTCAACAGTAAGCGTAGGTAAATCATGGAATGTATGTAATAAAGTTTTGTTGTTGTTGTTGTGTGTGTAGGATTACAGCCTAATAGTTCAAGTTACTCTTAACTGTAAATTTCCCATTGCCTTTCAGATCTTTGTGCATCTAAATGATATTTACTGTATCATTGGGATACCAGTTTTTAGGTAGATATGACATTCAAAATTATTGTTCATTATGTTTATGTAAATATGATCCTTTCACGGAATTATCACAAATAAGAAGTACTGTGTGGCATTTTCTAATTATGACATGATTTCCTTTGAATATTAAAGGATTAAATACGATGAGCAAACAACTTTCTAACAACAGAAATGAGGAAACATTTATGATTGTGCTTTGTTCTCAGGGAAATTTGATAGAGAACTGGTTGAAGGAAGGAAGTGAGATTGTCCCTAAAAGCACATTACAGGTGGCTTCCAAATAACAATGGAAAATACCGAAATCAGCCTTTTGTCCCCTATAGCAGGTATGGGCAAACTTCAGCCCTCCAGGTGTTTTGGACTTCAACTCCCACAATTCCTAAAAGTATTGGCTGTTAGGAATTGTGGGAGTTGAAGTCCAAAACACTTGGAGGGCCCAAGTTGGCCCATGCTGCCCTATAGGCTTTCTGAGGCCTTGTGCAAAACATAGTTGCACTCTTTTCCGCTTCCAAGTGGTACAATATTACCTTGCTGTTCAGACTTAAAAACAAGGAGACTAGCGAGATGGAAGTATTTGCAGGCCTGGGGCAACCTACAGTAAACAGGGGGACCCCAGAACTCTCTAAAGAAAACAGAGCATTATTATTGATAACTGACGGTTCAGTACTGTAACTGTGAGGGTCAAGGTGAACTTTGGGTTAAGGAGAATCGAATATTCTATAACCTAATGTTTTAAAATCTTTTTATATTGGTTTGCAGACTTCCCCTGTCAAACAGAGCATATATCAGAACTGTTGGGTTGCGATCCACCATTGCTTGGGCTATGGTGTCCCTCGCTGAAATCAAGGTAATAAACCTTTAATTACTGAGAAATTCTCACAGAGAATAGCACAGTGGGTTAAACCGCTAGCTGAAGGAAATCTGCTGATCGGAGGGCTGGCAGTTCGAAGCCATGAATCAGGATGAGCTCCCGTTGTTAGCCCTAGCTTCTGCCAACCTATCAGTTTGAAAGTATGCAGTGTGAATAGATCAATAGGTACCTCCTCGGCGGGCAGGTAAAAGGGTGCCGCATGCAGACATGCTGACAAAAACACGATTGGAGATGTCTACAGACAACAGGCTCCGCTGTCTGGAAAAATGGAACAACAGCATCTCCCCATGGCTGGAGTTGAGCCCCACCTCTAGACGTTGGAGATGAAAGGGGAAAGCCTTTACCTTTGTCTGTGTATTGTATGTCATTGTTGTTCACTGTGTAAAATGCATTGAATTTTTGCCTTATCTCTGTATACTGATTGTTTCTCAACCTGTGGGTCAGGACTCCTGGGGGGGTCACGAGGGGGTGTCAGCGGGGTCACCAAAGACCATCAGAAAACACAATGCTAATGAAGGTGATCAGCTAAACATTCACACCTAACTGCAGCAGGGAAGAGCTCCTTGCCCCACCCCAGCCATTCCACAGATATATAAACCCATTTTTCCTACTTCCAACAGACCTCACAACCTCTGAGGATGCTTGCCATAGATGCAGGCGAAACGTCAGGAGAAATGCCTCTAGAACATGGCTCTATAGCCTGAAAAAACCCACAAGAACCTACAGTATTTTCTGTTGGTCATGAGGGTTATGTGTGGGAAGTTTGGCCCAATTTTATCGTTGGTGGGGTTCAGAATGCTCTTTGATTGTAGGTGAACTGTAAATCCCAGCAACTACAACTCCCAAATGTCAAGGTCTATTTTCCCCAAACTCCACAAGTGTTCACATTTGGACATACTGAGTATTTGTGCCTGGTTTGCTCCAGGTCCATCATTGTTTGATTCCACAGTGCTCTCTAGATGAAGGTGAACTACAACTCCAAAACTCAAGGTGAATGGCCACCAAACCCTTCCAGTATTTTCTGTTGGTCATGGGAGTTCTGTGTGCCAAGTTTGGTTTAATTCCATCATTGGTGGAGTTCAGAAAGTTCTTTGATTGTAGGTGAACTATAAATTCCAGCACCTACAACTCCCAAATGACAAAATCAATCCGCATCCAACCCCACCAGTATTCAAATTTGGGCATATTGGGTATTTGTGCCAAATTTGGTCCAGTGAATGAAAATTTATTCTGCATATCAGATATTTACATTACGATTCATAACAATAGCAAAATTACAGTTGTGAAGTAGCAACCAAAATAATTATATGGTTGGGGGTCACCACAACATGAGGAACTGTATTAAGGGGTCTCAGCATTAGGAAGGTTGAGAACTACTGGTATACTGTAATCTGTTCTGAATGTCTCCGGGGAAATAAAGCGGAATATAAATAAGTTACATTATTATTATTATTTAAGAGTAGTGTAATCTCCTGTGTCTACAATTCTATACTCTCTTAATTGAAGACCCACTGGACTCAGTTAGCTCTATTCTTGGGGAGAAATCGTAGGGTGTTGTACTGCATTTGGTGTTTTTTTTGGGGGGGGTTGGTTTTTTTAATTAGGGAAAAGGGGAAAACAAAGGGGGGTTGTTTTTTCTTGTACAAGTAAAGTGGGGGAACAATAATGTGATAGAAAAGTAGGAAAATCCTGCCAGAGGGYATAAGAAAGGGGAAAAGATCTCTATAAATTTATTCAGAAGAGGAGGAGGAGGAGGAGGGAGAAGAGGAGAAGGAAGAATAAGAAGAGGAGGAGGAGGAGGAAGAAGAAGAAGAAGAAGAAGAAGAAGAAGAAGAAGAAGAGGAGGAGGAGGAGGAGGAGGAGGAGGAGGAAGAAAAGAGGGGGGAGGAAAAAGAAAGGGAAAAAAGGAAAATATAAAGATAAAAATAAAAGTAAAATAAAAAATGAATATATAGAGAGAGAGASAGACAAACATTCACATTTGTTAAATGACCTTAAATGAAGGATTCCCTCCTGGACTCTGTCCCCATGTGCACTATCAGTACCATCAATAAAAGTTGCCAAGAATCATTGCAAAGATTTTTCATATGTATAAAAAGAAATTCTTAAAACTGCTGTGCAGATGCAAATTATTATTTGTGATTGCATTTTAAGTGCAAGTATTTGAGGATAGAAGAATACTCTATATTAGTGGTTCTCAACCTGTGAGTCCTCAAATGTTTTGGCCTTCAATTCCCAGAAGTCCTAACAGCTGGTAAACTGTCTGGAATTTCTGGAGTTGTAGGCCAAAACACTGAGGACCCACCGGTTGAAAACCACCACATATAGTCAGTAAGCAATATTTCAGTCCTTATTATGGAGTATCATAATTGATCATTCATTTAACAGTGATCTTAGCAATATATGAGGATTTTAGACCAGTGTCACTAAAGGCTCAGAGACATTGACTTCCTCAAGACATTGTGACTTTCTTAAAGTTTGTGAATCTGCATTTCAAAAAGTCTTTCAGCCCATGTTTCTAAGCACATCTTCATAACAAAAGTTCTGGTCTAATTATCTGTCTTGTTCTTTACAACTAAACAATACTGGCACAGCTTTGGTTTCCTAGAGCAAGTCCCTAACATTGTAAGAGGTCATAGAAGTTGCAGTTAATATAGAGCAGTGGTTCTCAACCTGTGGGTCCCCAGGTATTTTGGCCTACAACTCCCAGAAATCCCCAGGAAGTTTACCAGCTGTTAGAATTTCTGGGAGTTGAAGGCCAAAACTTCTGGGGACCCACAGGTTGAGAACCACTGATATAGAGGATCTTTGCCTTACTAAAAGAGAATTCTTAATTATTTTAATATGGCATACTGTTATTTTTCACTTTTCTCCACAGGCCGGTGCATTTGTGTTGGATCCTACCTGTGGTCTAGGAACAATACTTTTGGAAGCTGCAATGGAGTGGCCTGTATGTTCTTTTCTATTAACATACATGTAATTTTGCCACATGAAGTTATCTAATTTGTCAGGATACACATACAAAAATCTTTCCTTAAGCACTGTAACACTCTTATATCTCAACCTTTACTGATATTTTTTTTCTACCCTTAATGCTGCTATATGATACATGCACTTTACTCACTAGCTCTATCCTCTATGGTTGTGGCACCAGTCCACTCACCCACGACGAGACACTGAATCTTACCATTGGTTGTTAGCCCTGACGTTTTGTTTATATTGCTTAATGTTATTGGTTTTTTTTATTTTGCTATATTGCTTCTGTTATTATTTTGTTGATGTGATTTTAATGTGTTATGTTTTAATTCTATCATTGGGCCTGGCCCCATGTAAGCTGCTTCGAGTCTCTTCGGGGAGGTGGGGTATAAAAATAAAGTTGTTGTTAATATTATTATTATTATTATTATTATTATTATTATTATTATTATTACTTGATGAACTGTGTTAGCTTTTAGTTTAGAAATTCACTGATATGCAAACTACTGGCTCCGGTAGCTTCACATTCTGCAGTTTGTATTGTTTTAGAAGAATAAGTATATCTTGATTTGCTGTGAGTTTTCTGGGCTGTATGGCCATGTTCCAGAAGCATTATCTCCTGACGTTTTGCCCACATCTATGACAGGCATTCTCAGAAGTTGTGAGGTCTGTTGGAAACTAGGTAAGTGAGGTTTATATATTTGTTGCTTGCGGTAAATGTGAATGTTGCAATTGGCCACCTTAATTAGCATTTAATGGCCTTGCAGTTTCAAAGCCTGGCTGCTTCCTAGCTGGGGGAGCCTTTCTTATGAGTTGTTAGCTGGCCCTGATTGTTTCATGTCAGGAATTCCCCTGTTTTTTGAGTGTTGGTCTTTATTTACTGTCCTGGTTTTAGAGTAGCCAGATTTTGTTCATTTTCATGCTTCCCTACTTTCTATTGAAATTGTCCACATGCTTGTGGATTTCAATGGCTTCTCTGTGTAGTCTGGCATGATGGTTGTTAAAGTGGTCCAGCATTTCTGTGTTCTCAAACAATATACTGTGTCCAGGTTGATTCATCAGGTGCTCTGCTTTGGCTGACTTCTCTGGTTGAAGTAGTCTGCAGTGCCTTCCATGTTCCTTGATTCGTGTTGGGGCAATGCTGCATTTGGTGGTCCCTATGTAGACTTGTCCACAGCTGCATGGTATACGATGGACTCCTGCAGAGGTGAGAGGATCCCTCTTGTCCTTTGCTGAACGTAGCATTTGTTGGATTTTCTTAGTGGGTCTGGAGATAATCAGGGTGGCCAATTTCAACATTCACACTTGACTCAAGCAGACAAGAGTTCTTTCTCCCACCCTAGACATTCCACGGATATATAAACTTCACTTGCCTAGTTTCCAGCAGACCTCACAAAAGGATGCCTGTCATAGATGTGGGCGAAACGTCAGGAGAGAATGCTTCTGGAACATGGCCATACAGCCCGGAAAACTCACAACAACCCAGTGATTCCAGCTATGAAAGCCTTCGACAACACGTAAGTATATCTCACTGAGTATATTTTAATAATATTGTTTTCAACCCAGTGTAAATATTTGTTTTTCATCTTTAGGATGTAAATTACTTGGGGGCTGACATAAGTGATGCGCAGTTGCAAGGAGCCTACACAAATATTAAAGCAGCAAATTTAATGGATAAGATTCAGTTACTGAAAGCTTCTGTGACAGGTAAGATTTGGCAGGATTAACTTCTCCCAAGTACAGATCAAAGCTTGCTGGGTTTCTCGTTTGTTTTTGATGAATAGATAGGATGCAGAACAGTTCACAGAAAATTCCTTTATAGCCTGTGTTGCATAAAATAAAGTAAAAAAAAGCTTGCATGTTTTTCAGAATGGTTCTGTGCAACTTGAAACCTTGATTTGATAAAAGTTATCAGCAGCATCATACCTGGGTCCCTTTGGAACTGTGGCTTGGAGTCAGAGAATAGTTTGTTTTTAAAGCCTTAATGGTTTGAAAGAGAAAATTCTACTCTGGAATGGATGCCTTCCATTTTTTCCATATTTAGAAGCCTGTCTGATCAGAGATAACAGTGGAACACAATGAGTTTAAGTAAAGCATGGAAAGTGATATGCTTTTTAAGAAATGCCTTAAACAGTCTCTTAAGAAATGTAATTTATATCCAACTTAACACAGCAACCATTCATGTTAACTGGCAAGGGATTCTGAATCTGAAAATAGCAGGGTTTGCGTCTTGTAATTTCTCTCATTTTTCCTGTGTCTGAAACCCTAAGATATCTCTCCGAACGTATTCTCCCCTATGAACCATCAAGATTATTAAGATTGTCTGCTCTCGGTCCCACCAGCCTCACAAGTGCGTCTGGTGGGGACGAGGGACAGGGCCTTCTCGGTGGTGGCCCCGCGACTCTGGAACTCTCTCCCACCGGAGATCAGAGCCGCCCCTTCTATCCTGACTTTTAGGAAACAGGTGAAGACGTGGTTATGGAGACAGGCCTTTAATGAGTGAGACAACACCCTAAGACATGGATGGAAGATGATGTATAATTGTTTTTTAGTATGACGACTGACCACTGTAGTTTTGGATATATTTGTTGTTTTAATGTGTTATTGTAATATGAACTATGATGTTTTTACCGATTGTATGTGTTTTTATGGTTGGAAACCGGTCTGAGTCCCTCAAAAGAGGTGAGAAGGTCGGTATATAAAACTCTGAAATAAATAAATAAATAAATAAATATCTTCTCTGAGAGAGATTATCTGGAGCACTGCTTCGTAATCTGGGGGTCCTGATCTCAAATGGGGACCCCTTAGCTCAATGTTGAAAATTTAGTTAAAGGTAAAGGTTTTCCCCTGACATTAGGTCCAGTTGTGTCTGACTCTGGGGGTTGGCACTCATCTCCATTTCTAAGATGAAGAGCCAGCGTTGTCCATAGACACCTCCAAGTCATGTGGCTGGCATGACTGCATGAAGCACCGTTACCTTCCAATCGGTTCTTCAGCTTAGAAATTGAGATGAGTACCACCCCCCAGAGTCAGACATGAGTAGACATAATGTCAAGGGGAAACCTTTACCTTTGCCTATACCCGGAGACCTGTAAAATTTTATGGAGTAGCCATAAAATTGCTATAAGTCAGAAAGATTGCAATTCCCCTGTTTGCAATACTGCACATAATTATTGACTGCACATAAATATTGGTGATGCATTGCGATCCGCTGGGAATCTCTCGTTGGTATGCAGTCATTCTTTATTTACACACAAGAGGGTAATGGTTGAGATTTTATTTTCAGAGGTTTCTGTTAAATGCTACTGTTCTGTTCTAACCGTGATTCATTGTGCGATACCCCTATAGCATTGCCATTGCCTTCAGAAAGCATCGATGTTGTTTTGGCGGACATCCCCTTTGGAAAAAAGTTCAAAATAACCAAAGACATGAAGTTGTTGCCAGATGTTTTTCAAGAACTTGAAAGGTATGTATATTCCAGTACGTGAGAAATATGGAATGAAATCACAGACTGGCATGTAACCAAGTGTGTGCCAAAAAAACAGTTAAAAGTAATACCCTTTTACTGTGTTTATGTAAATTGTGAGGAGAAACTGGTAAAATTTAAAATTATTAGTAGTATTATTATGTGATACACAAGATTAGTACACAGCAAATAAGATCATAATGCTGGCTTTTGTATTCAACCACATTGAACACTTTCCCAAATGTCTAGGACTGTGTGATGTATTGGCGAATAATGCATGCAGATCCAAGTAGAGTGGCCTTTTGCAGCTGACAGAGGGTAAATTTGTCAGCACCAATTGTTTTTAAGTGCAGGCCAAGGCCTTTAGGCACTGTACCCGGTGTGCCGATCACCACTGGGACCACCTTGCCTGGCTTGTGCCAGAATCATCATCATCATCATCATCATTGATGATGTCCCTGAGTCGCTCTGCGGAGGTCAAGATAGGACGGGATATAAATGTCCAAAATAAATAAATGACACAGCAAACAATATATATGCTGGATTTTGTATCACAAAATCACAAGTCAAACACTTCCCAAGCATCTAGGGCTGTGTAATGTATTTTCAAATGATGCGCACAGATCTGAGTAAGGTGGCCTTTTGCAGCTGACAGATCGTGATTTTGTCAATGTTTATTGTTTTCAAATGCCAGCTGAGATCTTTTGACACGGCACCCAGTGTGCCGATAACCACTGGGAGCACCTGGACTGGTTTATGCCAGAGCCTTTGCAGTTTGATTTTGAGGTCTTGATAGTGGCTGAGTTTTTCCTGTTGTTTTTCCTCAATGCAGCTGTCACCTGGTATGGCAAGATCAATAATCCAGACTTTTTTTCTTTTCCACAATCGTGATGTCTGGTGTATTGTGTTCCAAAACTTTGTCAGTCTGGATTCGAAAGCCCCACAGTATTTTTGCGTGTTCATTTTCCGCTGTCTTTGCAGGTTTATGATCCCACCATTTCTTTACTACTGGCAGGTGGTACTTGTGACATAAGTTCCAATGAATCATTTGGGCCACAGAGTTGTTGTTGTTGTTGTTGTTATTGACAAATGTGGTGTGATCAAATTAGAATAGGAAAAGCCAGTGATTAAGTGTAGTTACTGAATGCAAAAGGGTGACAGGAGCGTAAGACAGTGGATAGGAGGATAAATGAACAGAGCAAACAAAAAGAATCAAAAGGATATTTTGTATGCTAAAAAATATTTTATATGACCAGGAATAAATAATAAAGCTAAACAAGGATACATGTTAATAATTACCTTCTGTCTGTTATTTTTTCAGGGTACTCTGTGCTGGGGGAACTCTGGTGCTGTTACTTAGTCGAGAGCTGTATAAGTGCCTTTCTCATGGCATTACCAGTGGTCCTGAATCTGAGAATCATATCTCTGTAGAAGCTGCTAATGATTGCACCCAGACTGCCATGATATCAATCGAGTCAAATCCCAAAGACAAAAGCCCTTGCCTTGAGGCAGTTTCTCCATCAGCTCAGAATGAAGTGAAAGAGCCCATCACCAATCATCCTAGGACAGCTTTTGGCTCTCTGGTGCTAGAAGAATCCTTTGAAGTTAGTCTTGGTAAAACAGACGCATTTATATGCAAGTATAAGAAACCAATTGCAAACCCTACAAGGAGGTAACAGCACCAGACAAGAGGGCATCGAATGGCCTGGATCATGCTCTAAAATCATATGGAGCCAGGAAAGCGAGGCATGGGTGAATCTGAGCCTAGCAGTCAATGGTACACTACCTCACACAGTGCAAATGGTTCCTGAAGGCTTATCAAGTCTTGCCTGAAACCACAGAAAGGTCTTGTTGGTGGAGTTGTCCTCAGCTAAAACTTGAAAACAACAAGACACAAGATTTGAGATCAACCAAAGATACAGAATTCTGGTGAATGTACCCAAATGAGAGAGTGTTGGCAGTAGTAGGATATTTCTACTATTGTGGTGGCGCAATGGGTTGAACCCTTGTACTGCTGAACTGTTGATCTGAAGGTTGGCAGTTCAAATCCGAAGGACAGAGTGAGCTCCTGCTGTTAGCCCTAGCTCCTGCCAAACTAGCAGTTCGAAACATGCAAATGAGAGCAGATAGGTACCACTTTGGTAGGAAAAGGCAAAAGGTGCTCCAAGCAATCATGCCAGCCACACAACCAGGAGGTGTCTATGGACACAGGATCCTCGGCTTGGAAATGGAGAAAGAGCACCTCCCTCAGAGCTGGAGACAAGCATTGCCTCCAGAGCCAAAAATGAAATGAAATGGAGAAGCTTTTGCCTTTGTTTATTTGTGTCTCACTGTATGTCATGTAACAAGGCATTGAATGTTTGCCTGTGTTTGTTCATGTACTGCAATCCTCTCTGAGTCCCCTCAGGGAGAAGGACGGAATATAAATAAAGTATTGTTACTATTACTATGTTTTGTAGATTTTTTAATTGTAAAGGCTATTTAAGGTTGTGAGATGCTTTGGGTCTCAAATCCTGAGATAAAAGAGGAATAGTAGTAGTAGTAATGCCACCAATAGTCTAATTTGATATAAGGCATGGTGATTGCATCTGGATGTCTGAAAAAGATACGTTAGATTCTAAGGCCACGATATATTTTCCCTTCCTTAAACCCTGTGGCCTTCGAATCTAACGTATCTTTTTCAGACATCCAGATGCAATCAGCATTGTAGTGGCACAGAAATAGTCCTTATCGCAGTTAAAGAAAGGCTTTTGACTCCAGATACACAGATAGAATTAGTCATCTAAAGACAGATTTGGCTAGTGCAGATTACAGCCTTTGGGTTAGCTATTAGTGAGACTCTTTTGTACCAGTAACAAGTGCCAAGAAGCAGAGGTTATCCAACATATCACTTACGTTGGAGCATGCAAGCAATCAGTGTGTGTGTGTGTGTGTGTGTGAACTGTAAAATAAGATGCATGAAGCTGATTGGTTGGACAATGCATGAGGTGATGGCTGAGCCTGGAACTTTTGGATACTGTTGCTTTTTTGTTCAGTCTCGAACTATGCACGTGTGGAGAGAGATGAAGAGAGAAGCAGAGAGAGAGTGACTGAATTGGCTTCTTGGCTGCTGAAAGAAAGTCTCTCACATGGACAAAGAAAGGACCATTTTAAATCTCTCGAAAAGGACATTTAGTGAGTTAATGCAACCGATCGTATTATATGTATTATCGAAGGCTTTCATGGCCGGAATCACTGGGTTGTTGTAGGTTTTTCCGGGCTAGACCATGGCCATATAGCCGGAAAAAAACCTACAACAACCCAGTGATCGTATTATACATTGCATTGCAGTAGTCTATACGTATAGACTACTGCAACGAACTCTGCAACTACTGGGTTGCCTTGGAAGACTGTCCAGAAGCTTCAAATGGTCCAATGGACAGCAGCCATATTATTAACAAGAACAGTGCTCAAGGAGCATACAACTCTGCTACGCCAGCACTACTGGCTGCCAGTTTGCTATCGGGCACAATTCAAAGTGCTGGCTTTAGCCTATAAAGCCCTAAATGGTTCTGGCCCAACTTACCTGTTCAAACACATCTCCCCTTATGAACCTTCCAGGACTTCTGGGCAGGCCCTGCTCTCAATCCTGCCTTCATCACAAGTATGGCTGGTGGGGACGAGAGACAGGGCCTTCTCAGTGGTGGCCCCTCGGCTATGGAACACCCTCCCTAAGGAAATCAGATCGGCCCTTTCCCTTATAACATTCCAAAAAAAGTCAAGACTTGCCTTTTTCTTTCAAGCGTTTGCAAAGGAAATGTAACAGTTATAGGAAAATGGAACGACTGGACGATGTGACTGGTCAATGTTTTTAACAAGGACACCTTATGATAAATGTTTTTATTGATTTTGCTATGGTTTTATATTCATGTTAATGTTTTTAATTGTATTTTATGGTTTTGGTGCCAACTGTTAACCGCCTTGAGTCGCCTGCGGGCTGAGAGGGGCGGTATATAAATATAGTAAATAAATAAATACATATGTTCTTCTGAATTAAGAAGGGTAAAATACGTAGCATATTTTCTTTATCTGGCAAGGCAGTGTGTGGGCTGATCAAACGTTAACTACACATGGTTTATTTTACATTATGCCACAACTTAGTGGGCATCTTTGTTTTTACAACGCTAAATAAATAAACAATGTCTGAATTTCTGTATCTGATGTATCTTTTGAGAATTAAGAGCTCTTAGATTTGCCTATTTTGCACTGCAGCAGAACATTGGCACTTGCTTGAGATCCTGCAGGGAGTTGGACCTCATGGCCCATAGAGACACTTCCARTTTTATGATTATTCACATGCTTCATATTGGCAGCTTTCCCCCCCAAGAAATCCCAGTGATGTCTCCATAAAAGCTGAAATCGGAGGTTTAGCACAGCTGGTAAATCATCAGCAATTATAAGATCTATCAACCAAAAGGTTGCAAGTTCGAAGCCCCAGGTTGGCATGAGCTGCCAACTGTCAGCCTAGCTCATTGTTTACCTTAGCAATTCAAAAACAGCGTTAGCTGTGATTAGAGAAATTAGGTACCGCTAAAAGCAGGGGAGGTCTTTTACGATGCCATAAAGAAAAAAGATCAGAAAATGCTGGGTGACCAAAAGGAAGGAGGAAGTCCTGATGGGTCTTCATCATAGAGGATAAAACTCCCAGAAATCCCAGCCAGTTTACCAGCTGTTAGGATTTCTGGGAGTTGAAGGCCAAAAACATCTGGGGACCCCAGGTCGAGAACCACTGAGCTAGACACTGAGTCGAAACAAACCACCTCCTTCTGTTTTGTCTGTTTATTGTCTATACAAAGCGGCATTGAATGTTTGCCGTGTTTGTGTACTGTGATCCGCCCTGAGTCCCCTTTGGGGTGAGAAGGGTGGAATATAAATAAAGTATTAAATTAAAGTGTTATTAAAAAAAATCAATACGACCAAAGACAGAGGCATTTTGAATTCATGGTTGTATTTTCTGTTTTGAATTTACATCATCGTTGAAGAAGACACCATACCCAGGTCTTTTATTTGCTCAGCGATATTACAGACACTATCAAGAGAGGGAGATGATCTGCAACTAATTTTCTTCTAGATCTAATGAGGTTGAGGTTGTACAACAGATGTTACTTCCAACAAGATACTAACTAGTGCCCTATCATCCATTTCATACAGTTAATCTTGGTTTTATACATGGCATTTAGTTCCATAGGAGATACAAAAAGGTATTGAGGGGGGATACATAACAGGAAATGTTGCCATTACTGAATAGGCAGATCAGTAATGGGTTGTTGTAGGTTTTTCGAGCTATATGGCCATGTTCTAGATCAGTCATGTTTAACTTTCTCCATTACAGGGAATGGCCAGTAGAATGCAATATCCTGAAAGTCAACAGGTCCTTTTCCTGCATTGTTTCTGAAGGGAATTTTTCATCCACTTATAACACTGGAACTCTCCCATACCAAAAAAAAAATGCATAAATTCAGATGCAAGTAAGACTGAGGATAACTAAGAACTATTCTTGCAACTTTGGGAGGTTTTGGCAGTTATGTTTTTTGTTGTTTGTTGTCACCTTATGTACAAAGCTCTGCGAAATAAAAACAGCCCTAAATAATCAGCACAGTGTTTTTTGTCTAACTGTGATGTGTGCATATACGTTGTGCTGAACTGCAGCTGTCAGTTCCACAAGGATTTTGGTCATCTGCATGTTCTGTTTCTCTGCCACTCTGTAGCCAGAGAATTTCTCCATGTTTCCTGGCTAGTAAGACACAGCATTTGGCATTTTAAGGGATCAAGGTTTCTTTTTTTGTGCTTGGATTCTGAAATTAAGTCCCTTATGAATCCTTGAAGACCACTCTTCAGATCACCTGCTGCCTCACAAGAAAACAGATTACTCCAAAATCAGCAGTCATACAGAAGAGTCTCTGGTCGATTTGAGATGGCTAATCTTTGTCCTGCTAAGGAACGGATACGTGGTGCAAAGGCACCCTGCTGCCACGATGAGTCCTAAACTGCACCAAGCACAGAATATAGACCAGCTGTATCCGTGTTCAACGTCATCGGGGAGACCATAGATGAACTTGGGTAGGCGGTTAAGGTCATAGGAGACGCTGGCTGCATATGTGCAGAGAGAAATAGTGCAAAAGATGCCTGAAAATGAGAAAAATCAAAACATCACAGTTAGAAAATGTCTAAAGATAAATCCTTTGGATACATACAGTGCTAAGGAAGGATAATTCTGAAGAGTTGTTAGGGGAGGGAGGAGACATCACTCCGTGTTGTATAATCAGATTTACGTATGTGCAACTGAACTGGTGATCTGTCTCCACAGATCTGAGTTTTGTTAGATTACAAGCTCCTTAAGTGCTGAATCTATTCTGGATTTTAATTTTGAATTGAATTATAGAATTGTAAGTTTATATAGTTAGAAACCGGTCCATGCACTATTGAGTCCCAATCCCTATGATGTTTACAGAAACTATCTCAAGGGCAAACCTATTTACAGGATAGATTTTAGCATCTTACATAGGTAAAGGTTTCCCCTGACATTAAGTCTAGCCGTGTCTGACTCTTGAGGGTGGTGCTCATCTCCATTTCTAAGCCAAAGAGCCGGCGTTGTCCGTAGACGCCTCCTAGGTCATGTGGCCAGCATGACTGCATGGAACGCCATTACCTTCCCGCAGAAGTGGTACCTATTGATCTACTCACAGTTGCATGTTGTTGAACTGCTAGATTGGGAGAAGCTAGGGCTAACAGCAGGAGCTCACCCCACACTTCTTGGATTCAAACCACCAACCTTTCAGTCATCAAGTTCAGCAGCTCAGTTGTTTGACCCGCTGCGCCACCAGGAGGCCCTTGAACACATAGTTCAAAGACTTGGCTGTGGCGCAGCTAGCTGGTAGCTAGCTGCATTAAATCACTACTGACCAAAAGGTCATGAGTTCGAAGCCAGCCCAAGTCAGAGTGAGCATCTGGCCATTAGTCTAGCTTGCTGTCGACCTTTGCAGCTGGAAAGACAGTTGTATCTGTCAAGTAGGAAATTTAGGTACTGCTTTATGCAGGGAGGCTAATTTAACTAATTTATGATGTCATAAAACCTTCCAGCAGCATGTAGAAGAATGAGGAAGTACTCCATCAAAGGACTCGGTGTCACAAATGGACGGTGAAGTGGCAGCTCCCCCTGTGGCTGGAATCGAGGATACCCTCATGAAGCTGGAAAAGCTGGAATGTTAAATTGCCTCTGTGTCTGTCTATATATGTTCTATGTCTAATTGGTATTGTATGTTTGCCATGTATAAGTGCATTGTAATCCGCCCTGAGTCCCCTGTGGGGTGAGAAGGGTGGAATATAAATACTGTAAATAAATAAATAAATAGTTCCTTTAAAATATGGATTAAAACCTACCTTGAACTCACTGCCCTACTGGCATGAAAATTACCAGCTATTAGTGGATTTTTGGTGTCAGGATCAAAGGCTTAGCCTCAAGGTTGGCTCAGACATTTGCTGCCTTTGGAGAAGGACACACTGGCAGTTCTCTCACAACTGGAATGGGAATTCAACTTTCAATTACTAGTAATGAGATGATTTCCTTGCCTGTGTGGCTCAAAAAACTCTTGTCTTCCAATACTTCCTCACCACTCCCTGCCCTACCACATCAACCAGTGGCTGCTTCACCCTGTCTAATAATGAAATTTGCCATGCTAAGTGAAGCTTTGAATGTCATATGAAGGCACCAAAACCTGATTTTTTTTAATTGTGTCAAAAGCGAAACTGCAAGTCATTTCTGGTGTGAGAGAATTGGCCGTCTACAGAGATGTTGCCCAGAGGACGCCCAAATGTATTAGCTGGGAGGCTCCTCTCATGTCCCCACAAGCTAGAGCTGACAGACTGGAGCTCACCCCATCTTGCAGATTCCGACCGGTAACCTTCAGGTCAGCAACCCAACCTTCAAACTAAAAAACTGATAAGGCCCTTCATCTTTCCACACTCCCAAAGCAGCAACAGTATTGGTTTGCAATAACAAAACAACAAAAAGAGTTTGCAGCACTTAACAGATTAAGATTTACATAACCTTTTACTAAATATAGCTAATAAGATAAACCATAGAGGTTTGTGAAATAACAAGACTTTTAAGGTGATACAAGCCTCGTTGTTGCTTTGTTTCCAGGTTGTGAAGATAACAATAGCAACACAGTCAAGCACCTAAATGAGAGGATATGATGTTTATTTTTACAATAATTGACCTGTATTGCTGATATGATATACAACTATGACAGAAAATGACAACAATTCTCACAGAGTCACTGCACATGATGCCCCATAGCATAACGGCCTCCTATTTCATGCTGTGAAACAGCAACACTGCTTGAAAGGAGATTCCATCTGAACATTAGGAAGAACTTCCTGACTGTGAGAGCCGTTCAGCAGTGGAACTCTCTGCCCCGGAGTGTGGTGGAGGCTCCTTCTTTGGAGGCTTTTAAACAGAGGCTGGGTGGCCATCTGTCAGGGGTGCTTTGAATGCAATATTCCTGCTTCTTGGCAGTGGGTTGGACTGGATGGCCCATGAGGTCTCTTCCAACTCTATGATTCTATGATTTACCTACTATGTAATGATCCTGGAGGGTTAACTACATATCTGCTATCCTCCTAAGACTACAAAGACAAGATAAGCATTCAAAATGACTTTCATAGTTTGGAGAAATGGAAAAAAACTAACAAAATGAATTCACTTACGCAAAATAACGAAAAAGAAATGAAATGCAAAGATGTAAGATAGATGACACCTAGCCTGACAGCAGTATGCATGAAAAGTATCTAGAAGTCTCAATTGACCATGGTTCAAACGTGTAATACAACAACTAAAAAAGCAAATGCCATTTTAGGTTCACCTATAGAAACATGGAACTGGACTGGATAGTTTCTACCATTTCTCCAAACTATGGAAGTCATTTTGAATGGGCCAGGCTTTAGCACAGCTGGTTAATCACCAGTAGCAATAGATCTTATTACAGTAAGTTGTAGTGGGACCAAGTGTGTGTGTGTGTGTGTGTGTGTGTGTGTGTGTGTGTGTGTGTTGAAGAAAAACCTTAGGATGGTAATTATTATGTGCAGCTGGTAATGTAGGTCAACCAGCAATCTTGGACCACACCCGATAGGGTATAACTGTATGGGATTTTAGAATACAGTTCTGGAGAGCTTTTTTTTCTATGCTCAAATGCTTTGCTCTGAGGAGCAGGTTGGAGAGAAGCCGTTATGCTGCTCTAAAGGAGGCTATGGTGGAATAGCTGTTTGCTCATGGTTTTTGCTTTCTCATTTGACTTAAGATGAAGATGCCTTATTTTGCGTTACTTACAAAGACTATGTAAGTTTCTTGCACTGTTTATTTTTTGTATGCAACATTGCAGTTTTGTATTTCATCTCTGCTATTAAGAGTAAAGGGTTTTTTTGTTCATTTCTACTCAGATCTTACCAACTAAAAAGGTTGGCAGTTTGAAGCCCGGGTTGGGGTGTGCACCCGACCTTCAGCCCAGCTTACTGTCCGACTAAGCAGTTCCAAAACAGCTGAGAGCTGTGAGTAGAGTTGCTTTCGGGCTGAGAAAGGCGGTATACATGGTAAATTAAAAATAAATAAATAGAGAAAATAGGCACTGCTTAAGCAGGGAGGTATTTTACGGCACCATAAAGAAAATAACAGAAAATGCCAGCAATCAAAGGAAGGAAGTTTGTGATCAAGGGCTCTTCGTCATAGAGGATGGAGCGACAGCACCCCCGTGACCAGAATAGAGCATAACCACCAGGATGCCAAGGTTGGGGAAAATGCCAACATAATACCTCTATCTGTTGTCTATCCTATCTGTTTCACGGCATTGAATGTTTGCAGTATATGTGTTCTGTGATCCGTCCTAAGTCTCTCTCAGGGTGAGAAGAGTGGAATATAAATACTTTAAATAAATAGATAGAAGATAGATAGACAGATATTGCGGTCTCTTCCAACTCTCTTCTAACAGCACATTGATGCCATTCAAGTCTACATTACACTAATTCTGTTTAGAGTGACCTAACTTTTATACAGGATGCTTGCCTAAAGAATTAGCAGATTGCTATCCTTCTACAAGACTCCTCATGACTCATCTCTACCTAATGACAGAGCAGATCTTGGATCCTATGTTGCTAGGAAGGAGAAGGGAAAAGCTACCTGACATGAGGAAAAGAAGACCAGCCACATGCTGCGTGAGGCTCTCCTCCCAAAAGAAACTGACTGCAGTTACGATGCACCCGCAGAGAAGAACAGCTGCTGCCATGCCCAGGAAGCCTGCTGTGATTCTTCTTAGATCTGTTCCCATTAAGTAAAAGAGAAGGAGGACGTTAAATTACCACAACTGAAAAAATACAATTGAGGCTGACAGGATTTAAATCCCAGTGAACCCAATGGGACTTAGTTCTCAATAAGTATAAACACAGATTTGCACTGTAAGGACTTTATGCACCCACTGCTCACAAAAGTAAAATATTTCACTCCTTCAACTTAGGCAGAAACACAACTACGTGTATGAAACAGTTTTTATCAGTAACTTTTATTAAAAACTGCAGGACATCAGTGACAAGGAAATGGAGCAAACTGCAAAGACTCTGGCACAAGCCAGTAAAGGTGGTCCCAGTGGTAATCGGCACACTGGGTGCAGTGCCTAAAGACCTTGGCCTGCTGACAAAATTACCAGCTGCCAGCTGCAGAAGACCATCTTACTGGGATCTGCACGCATTATTCGCCGATGCATCACACAGTCCTAGACACTTGGGAAATGTCCAACGTGTGATCCAATACAACAGCCAGCAGAGTTATCTTGTCTGCTGTGGACTCATCTTGTTGTGTTTCAAATAATAATAATAATTTTATTTTATAAAAAAGGCCTAAAAGATCCTTTTAGACCCTTTTTTGATTGTAGGTGTATCCAAGGTATAATTTTCCAGGTCTCTGGGTCAACTGAAAATTTCAAATTTTGTCATCCATTCTCTTCTTTACTACTGTTAATCTTTCGGAAGTCTCATTCATTCCACCATGAGAATTAATCAATTTGAGCATCACACAATTGCCTCTGGGGATTCAGATGGGAAATTTCCTGTCCTCTTCTTTCAGGAACTTCTATTGCTGGTGGCAAACCTCTTGGTAAAGGTACGGATCATATTGCACATTTTGCTATCACAACATGCAACATTTTCTGATTAAAACATTAAGTGTGATCAACATAAACTGCAATATTTTGCAGCCATTAGGAAGACTATTTACTCAGCAGGAAAAGACAAATACTTACGTAGAAGGTGCCATTCATCTTGCTGGATAATCTTGGTTAAATTGAATGGGATGTTTCGTAAGCGTATTGGTGGAGAAAAGTGGTATTTGATTGCTGTGCATCTTTGAGCAATACCTTTAAGGAAGGAAAGGACAGAGTATTTAGCAAATTGGCTTGAAAAGAGGTCAGAGAAGATAATAATCTTTAGCATCATGAAACAAGTAATGGCAGGACCCTTATGTAATCGGAGGTTACCCCCCCCCCCCCCCCTCCCTATGTGTATGCTCCAAAGCCCCATTCCTCATTCCCTATATGTATGTATGTCTATATAAGAAAATATGAAGCAAAGCTACCTTTTCATGAACAAGCAACTCATGGCTCTTGGAGTTTCCAGACTTCCTGAGCCAATAATCCCCTAAGAAAGGACTTGACCAAAACCCATTTGCATGGACAGTAAGGAAATGACTCCATTTGTCTGGACCTTGGAGTGCTGATAACCAGGCCATCCAGAATAATGGAATCTATGGAGATACTGGATCACCCAACACAAAGGACATCTCCCCATCTGCAGGGAACCTGGGTTTTGTCACCGCCTCCCTGCTGTGCCACATCCCGATCTCCAAAACCAATCTCTGCTTCATCAGTGACCTCGATATCGCAGGATAGTAAGACAAAGGACCTGGCCTCTTGGGACCAGACAAAAATGTTAATTCAAGAGACAAAACAATAACTCAGACCAGGCTTGAGAGCCTGAAGCTATTGCCTGGTCATTTGGCAAACACCAGTCATTTGTAATCCAGTCACCTAGACATTTCTTCATTGTTTCCTTGTTGCCTGCCTCCCTCCCATCTCATTGGCTGAGCGGCCAAAGCAGGGCCAGGGCCCTCATTGGATCTCCTCCTGGCTCGCTGACATCACAGCCAATCACAATGAAGCTGGCTCAGGAGGCGGGCGTGGGAATTCTGAAATTGACATTTGAGATTTGATGGGTTATGTCAGCTCCTGGGCAGATAACTGCATTTGTTATCCATTCCAGCTGGAATCAAATAAAACTTTGTTGGCTTTCTTTCAACTTGATGAGACTTAATTTTGGGAAAATTAGAGAAATTTTTTTCTGTTGAACCAATTTCAAATTTATGTCCTTTGTTTAATCACTGTTTTGTGTATTTTAATATGCATTTTATAGAAATATGTTTTAATATGTATCTTTTAGAAATAATTTTAATATGTGTATTTGTGGTGTTTTTACAACTTTTATGTATTTTATTTATTCTGTAACCCCATAAGGAAAGGCAAGTAAGAAATATTATTATTATTATTATTATTATTATTAAGCAACTGTGAACTTTTTGGAAACAAGACATGGGCAATTGTCTGCGCAGATAAGTTGGGTTGTAAACTTCATTGTAGACCGCATACCCAATGGAAACAAATTATGGGTGTTGTAGTGCAAAATCATCTGCATAACTGACCAGCTTTGCTAGAGAAGGCTTTTCTTTTCTTGTCTTTTCTAGTACAAAATAATTGTCTGCCTGAAACCATTGACCCTCTTCAGCATCACAATGGAGTGCCTTGGTACATCTGGCAGCTTCTCTTAATCATCATTTGCTAAAAACACACGCTTTATGCATACATAATTTTACAATGCAATCCCAAACAGATCTATTCAAAAGGAAGTCCTATTTAACTGAATGGACCTCCCTCCCAAGTTACATAAGTACAGGACTCCAGACTTCCCCTGGAGCCCTTTCAAACTATACAGTTTTAGCACTGTGATTCCACTTCAACTGCCATAGGAACCTCCTATGGGATGCTGGGATCTGTAGTTTTCTGAAAACCTGGAGCTCTTCAATCGAGAATTCCAAGTACCTCTCCTTCAATTTTACATCCCAGGACAAGCCCGTAGCCAGGATTTCGTTTCGGGGGGGGGGCTAAATCTGAGGGGGGTTGGAGTCTGAGTGAAAGAGGGTCTACCCTAGCAAACCTTTTGTATCATTACCCCAATACCCCCATGCATATGGGATATATTGAGTATGGTGATCAGATCATGATATGAATAAACATAACAGTTTAAATAATGCACCAGTAAGGCCTTTTCGCGAACCACCATGAGAATTTGGGGGGGGGGGGGGGGGCTGAAGCCCCTCAAGCCCCCCCCCCCCCCACAGTCTGATGACCCCCTCCTGAAGTCAAATAATAACTCCAGGTCCCATTGTTCAGATGTGAGTTCTAAGTAAATAGGTGTTTTTGTGATTCCTGATTGCCTTTTCAGCCCAGCGGGCTGCTTCCTGATCAGCCTCCCAAAGGGCAAAAGAGTTCATGGCTGGGTCAGACTTGTGAAGGAAATACATAGAAGGAAAGTATAGGAAATTCATATCAATCACCCCTTCTCCATCCCACCCACCAGAGAAATTTAATAAAGAAATAATTTCAGAAAGAAACTTGAGTCCATAGTTGAATTGGGGAAAATTCATGAGTGGAAATGTGTCCTTGTGAATCCAAACATATGGCAGAAAGTCCAAAGCCATAGAGAAAAGCTGGTTGGCTTCCACTGAGCCAAAGAATGGAGTTTTTCAGAGCTGGGAACGAAGCAGGTCCTGGGGGGGGGGGGCAGAAGTCCCAAGGTCCAGCCGTTCCCCAAAAGCCTTGTGGCGTCCTTGTTGTTGTTAGTGTCTCAGAAAAAGGGGCGGAACTAAAGAACATAATGATAATTGATGGGTCATTGGCCCTATTATTGCAAACCAAGGGAAGCCACCTTATTGCAAAATGCATGGAACTTTGGAATACATGCAAACACTCAATAGAAAGGAAAAGAAGTTGGAGCTCCTGGTACAGCCGCACCAGCACAGTAGGTGTGTTCCTGATCATTACCTCTTTAGTGCAAAATTTGAAATTTTTGGTGGAAATAACATGGAAGGAACAGGGAAAAATTCCTACACCACAAATGCATAAACGTGAAACTAAACCAGTGGTTCTCAACCTTCCTAATGCCGCGACCCCTTAGTACAGGTCCTCATGTTGTGGTGACCCCCAACCATAATATTATTTTCGTTGCTACTTCACAACTGTAATTTTGCTACTGTTATGAATGGTAATCTAAATATCTGATATGCAGGATGTATTTTCAGTCACTGGACCAAATTTGGCACAAATACCCAATACTCCCAAATTTGAATACTGGTGAGGTTGGGGGTGATTGATTTGGTCATTTGGTAATGCTGGAGTTGCTGGGATTTATAGTTCACCTAAAATCAAAGAGCCTTCTGAACTCCACCAATGATGGAACTGAATCAAACTGGGCACACAGAATTCCCATGACCAAGAGAAAATACTGGGAAGGTCTGGTGGACATTGACCTTGAGTTTTTTGGAGTTGTAGTTCACCTACATCCAGAGAACACTGTGGACTCAAACAATGATGGATCTGGTTCAAACTTGGCACAAATACTCAATATGCCCAAATGTGAACACTGGTAAAGTTTGGAGAAAATAGACCTTGCCATTTGGGAGTTGTATTGTTGGGATTTATAGTTCACCCACAATGAAATAGCATTCTGAACCCCACGATAGAATTGGACCAAACTTTCCACACAGAACCCCCATGACCAACAGAAAATACTATGTTTTCTGATGGTCTTTGGTGACCCCTCTGACACCCCCTCCCCCCCAGGGGTCCCGACCAGAGGCGGTCCTAAGTAA